TGTTCTGATGGTGATTGGGGGAGGGGGGGGGCAATCAAGGGAATGATTTTTCCTGTAGAAAAATGGAAATGTAGAGAGACTTGAGAATGCTTGTGTGCTGGCGGAAGTGGTGACTCCCATCATGTGATCATATGTCCCCAGGTATGGGTATGAGGCTGGGGGGACCGAACCCCAACCCCCCGCGAGGGAACAAGACCCGATGTCCGGACGTGCTGGACCTGGTAACTGGTTTTGTTTCTCTTTTGTTTTTACATTTTTGTTCAGTTGCTCGTTTCTGTCTGGCTCACTTTTTTCTCTGCACTGAATGACTGATATTGGGGGTGATAACCATTATAGTGGAAGCCACTGGTAGGTTTGACGTCTTTACTTTCCCTCTGTCTGTCTCACTTTTTCACTGTACTAAATAACTGTTATCGTGGGTACCACTGGTAGGTCTGACTTCTTTTCTTTCCCTCTGTCTGTCTCACTTTTTCACTGAACTAAATAACTGTTATCGTGGGTACCACTGGTAGGTCTGACTCCTGTCTGTCTCACTTTTTCACTGTACTAAATAACTGTTATCGTGGGTACCACTGGTAGGTCTAACTTCTTTTTTCCCTCTGTTGTTTCTGTCTGTCTTACCCTTTTCACGGCACTCAATAACCTTTATTGTGGGTGCCACCAGTGGATCGAACTTGTTGTCTTTTCTTCTGTCGTTTCTGTCTGCCTTACTATTTTCCTGCACGGCCGAATAATTGTTATTGAGGGTGCCCCTGGTGGGTCTGACTTCTGTTCTTTCCATATGTTGTTTCTGTCTCACTATTTCATTGCACTGGGTGACTGATATTGGCGGTGGACAAGTTGACCCACTCTGGAATTTTTTTCAAGATCAATTGCATTGTTCTTTTGGAACATGTTGGGTGCTATTGGTAGATCAGACCCTACTTCTTGTCTTTCTCTTTGATATTTTTGTCTGTTTTTGCATTTTTTAAATCTCAAAGTGAGCATCACATTGTTTCAATGAACATTTTTGTATTAACTCTGAACTGAACAAAACTTGGTGTAACTTTTATTATGCAACCAATTCCCCTAACCCCCCCCCAAAAAAACAACAAAACAACAAAGAACAACCCAAAGTACCTGGGGTAGCATATTGTTTTGCTCTAATGGGTCCAGGTTCGGTTCCTCAGGTCAGTCCACGTCTGGGTATTACGAGGATTACTACAACCCTGAACCAGCTGCTGCCGGGGACGCGGGGTACCCACAGGCGGCCGCCTACGCTCCGGAGGCTGGCTATGCAGAGGACGGAGCTTGGAAGCGGTCAGTGATAGGTCTCATGACAGTGGTCTAGTAGTTAGGCTGTCGGGCTCATGACTGAAAGGTTAAGGATTCAAACCCTGCCTTTTGTCCTTGGGAAGGGCACTTTGCACAAATTTCCCCTCATTTCACCCAGGTGGGAATGGGTGCCCGATTATACCTGGCAAAAGATCTTGTCAGTTTGTTAGAGATTGAGCGCTTAGTCTGCTGCTTGCACTGTATGCTTCCGAGGAAGCTGAAAATGTTTGTGAGTATTCCAGGGTCTCTTCAATCACCTCTGTCACCTTGGTATTGGGTGTGGGCAACTGAGACAGGCTCTCCACCTGTCTCTGTTCTAGGCCATTTTCTCCACCTGTCTCTGTTCTAGGCCATCTTCTCCACCTGTCTCTGTTCTAGGTGACCTTCTCCACCTGTCTCTGTTCTAGGCCATCTTCTCCACCTGTCTCTATTCTAGGCCATCTTCTCCACCTGTCTCTGTTCTAGGCCATCTTCTCCACCTGTCTCTGTTCTAGGCCATCTTCTCCACCTGTCTCTGTTCTAGGCCATCTTCTCCACCTGTCTCTGTTCTAGGCCATCTTCTCCACCTGTCTCTGTTCTAGGCCACCTTCTCCACCTGTCTCTGTTCTAGGCCATCTTCTCCACCTGTCTCTGTTCTAGGCCATCTTCTCCACCTGTCTCTGTTCTAGGCCATCTTCTCCACCTGTCTCTGTTCTAGGCCATCTTCTCCACCTGCAGACACCTGTGTCCAATTTGTCTGAGATCTGCCTCTAAGTCTCACTCCCAGTTGGTGCTTGGCCTTCCTCTCTTTCTCCTCCCCTGGGGTCTGCTGGAATAATTATATAGACTGTAAAGCACGAAGAGCATGCTATAGAGTGGGGATATGAGCTATGTAAATGCTATTTTATTATTATTATTATCATTACAATAATAATGGCTTAAAACATGTGCTATTACTAGTAACATTACAAACTAGGGTAGATAAAACATGTGCTATTACTTGTAACATTACAAACTAGGGTAGATAAAACATGTGCTATTACTAGTAACATTACAAACTAGGGTAGATAAAACATGTGCTATTACTAGTAACATTACAAACTAGGGTAGATAAAACATGTGCTATTGTAACATTACAAACTAGGGTAGATGAAACATGTCAGGGGGGCTCTCATGGCCTAGAGGTTAAGGTGTTCACCTCTCATTCAAAGGTCCTGAGTTTGAATCTGGGTAGTGAAAGAAAAATTTTCTTCTCTAAATTTGTCTCCTTTCACCTCCTTTCCTGCTCTCTAGCAATGTTCTGTTGTCTGCTTTCGTCTCCACTTTGTGCCCCCGTCCCCTCACCTCCTTTGCCCCCTCCTCTGGGCTCTTGACTCTTTCTGCAGCCTTTCTACTGCTACTCCTTGGCTCCTTCTTACTGCTGTCTTTTCAGCCACACCCCTGATCTTCTGGTAGGAAAGATCTACACCTAGCCTTCTCGGACAAGGGTGCAAAAATCTCAGATGTCCTGTGTGCAAGTTGCGCAGGTGAAAGATCCCTTGGTGGTCTATAATCGATAATAGTAGGCTTCAGCCGCCACCCAGGCAAAATTCAAAATTTCCTACTAACTGAAACGAATTTTTAATGTGTCCCGTGAGCTCATGTGTCCTTCTGCTGTTGTGAGCGCCGTTAAACACTTACCAAGAACCCCCCAAAAAACCTGTCACTGTACGTTTTCCTCTCTGACAGTTTGGAGTCGGAATATGGCAGACAGGCTGAGGGTCGCTACCCCCGAGAAGGGGAAGCGGATTTGTACGGCCGCTATCCAGCGCCGCTAGAGGAAGCAGCCAGCCTCCGAAACAGGTGAACTCTCTTCTTTCTGTGGTCTCTTCTCACTTTGGGAAGTACTTGTGGGCGTGTGTGTGTGTGTGTTTGGGGGGGGGGGGTGTTTGGCATTGTGAGGGTTTTTTGTTTCACATCCCTATCTACGCTATAGTGGAGTCCGCTTAAACCGAACCCGATTAATCTAAAAATAGCAATAAACCAAAAGCAAATTGAATCCCCTAATTTTTTTCTTTGATTTCTGAGCAATCTTTCTAATCCGAAAACACGGTTAAACCAAAGGAAATCTGGTGGCCCCACAGATTTTGACTCGAGCGGAGTCCAGTTATCCAGTGCAGGAACAGGAAGGCAGCCAGCCTCCAAAACAGTTTCTAAATTTTCCTCACTACACCCTGGTGTGAATGGGTGGCCTGCCATTGACAGCGAAAGATCTTGTCATATGTTAATGTCTAAGCGCATGCTAAATGGCAGCTTGCAGCTCGTTCCATGAATCCAATTGTAAACCAAATATTCCCTGATGGGTCAGTGAAAGGGAAATTTGACTGGTTTGTTTGTGTAAAAATTTCTTATGTTGCTTCCCACAGCCGCAAGCGTGCGGGTGAGGCGTATGCTGAGGCGGAGGGGGTTCGGGGTTCGATTTCTCACATGAAACGAGAATATGAAGACTACCGGCTGCACATGGGGCCCGGCGCTGGCCCTCTGCCTTCACCGATCAAACGAGAGAGGTTTGTCTTGTGTGATTACCTGATTGTGTCAGTGTGTCATAGACAGGTCTTGTGTGATTACCTGATTGTGTCAGTGTGTCATAGGCAGGTCCTGTGTTGACCTGATTGTGTCAGTGTATCATAGACAGGTCCTGTGTTTACCTGATTGTGTCAGTGTGTCATAGACAGGTCCTGTGATTACCTGATTGTGTCAGTGTGTCATAGGCAGGTCCTGTGTTTACTTGATTGTGTCAGTGTGTCATAGGCAGGTCCTGTGTTTACCTGATTGTGTCACTGTGTCATAGGCAGGTCCTGTGTTTACCTGATTGTGTCAGTGTGTCATAGGCAGGTTCTGTGTTTACCTGATTGTGTCAGTGTGTCATAGGCAGGTCCTGTGTTTACCTGATTGTGTCAGTGTGTCATAGACAGGTCCTGTGTTTACCTGATTGTGTCAGTGTGTCATAGACAGGTCCTGTGTTTACCTGATTGTGTCAGTGTGTCATAGACAGGTCCTGTGTTTACCCGATTGTGTAAGTGTGTCATAGACAGGTCTTGTGTGATTACCTGATTGTGTCAGTGTGTCATAGACAGGTCTGTGTTCTGTTTTCCTGATTGTGTCATAGACAGGTGTGTGTTTACCTGGTTGTGTTATATAGGTGTGTGTTTACCTGATATTTTCATAGACAGGTATCTGTTGACCTGATTGTGTAATGTATAGGTGTGTGTTTACATTATATTGTCATAGACAGGTGTGTGTTATCTGTTGACCTGATTGTGTCATAGACAGGTGTGTGTTATCTGTTGACCTGATTGTGTCTTAGTTTCTTGAAACGCTTTTAGTCTTCGACACTTCTATGACCTAATTGTGTTGGTTGCAAGTGCCCTAAAGCACTTTCTAAAACCAAACAAAACGATTACATCTTTCAAACACGTGAAAACATCCACGTGGAAATTGTTCAGCTTCCGTCCACGCCCTGGAAGTTTCCATTTCTTTCCGTTCGGTAAAGACGTTCCGTGTTTTGTGCCCACAGGTCGGAGTACGCGGGCTACGACCCGTACAGACGACAGGAGGACGTCTACAGGACTTTGTGAAGGTAGGCACAAGTGTTTGTGGGGAAGGGAAGGAGAATAAGTGTTTTTGGGGAAGGGAAGGAGAATAAGTGTTTGTGGGGAAGGGAAGGGAAGGACAATAAGTGTTTGTGGGGAAGGGAAGGAGAATAAGTGTTTGTGGGGAAGGGAAGGGAAGGAGAATAAGTGTTTGTGGGGAAGGGAAGGGAAGGAGAATAAGTGTTTGTGGGGAAGGGAAGGACAATAAGTGTTTGTGGGGAAGGGAAGGAGAATAAGTGTTTGTGGGGAAGGGAAGGACAATAAGTGTTTGTGGGGAAGGGAAGGGAAGGATAATAAGTGTTTGTGGGGAAGGGAAGGAGAATAAGTGTTTGTGGGGAA